ACCTTTGCTCAGCCTTCCTGGAAAATTGACGGGTGAGCCTAGATGACCTTTGGATGCCTCGCAGTTTCTTGATAGAGAAGGACCAGGGGAGACAGGGTAGCAGTCTCCCAGTATTTGAGGGGCTGCCATAGAGAAGGGAGAGGTCAAAGCTATTTTCTTTTCTTTTTATTAAGTTTTTTTAAAATTTTCTATTTACCAACAAATCCATCTTTCATTTAAACTGTGTGTTGAATGGGTACATATATCTTGTGCTAGCAATTATAATTAACATACTTTCCATGCCAAAATATGGGAATCACGCTTTCTTTGTATGCCACTGTCTCTTACACATTTTATCTTTGTAACAATCTTAACTTATTTCTCTATATATTCATCCACTCAATTTTAACTTGTTTTATTTTCCAACCATTGATAAAATAGATCCCAAACCATATAATATTCATTTTCTTCTTTTTCTTTAATTGCTCATGTTAATCTATTCAACTCTACACATTCAAATATTTTATCAATCACTTTTTCCTCTACCGGAATTTTTTTCCGCTTTTCCAATTCTGAGCAAATACAATCTTAGCTGCTGTTAACACAGGGATAATTAAATATACTTTCTCTTTGCTATAGTTTTCATGTACCGTTCCTAAAAAGGAATATTTCAGGTTTAAAATCTATATGTTGCTTTATCATTTTTTTTCCAACCATGTGTGTATCTTTCCAGTAACTTTTAGCTTTTGCGCATGTCCACCACATATGGTAATACGATCCAGGTGTCTGTTCCAGGTCAAGTTATTCTCCAAAGCCCGAGAAGGCCAGACAAGGAAGAATGGATGGAAACTGAACCAGGAGAGATTCAACCTGGAAATAAGGAGAAACTTTCTGACAGGGAGAATAATCAACCCATGGAACAGAAGTTGCCCTCGGAAGTTGTGGGAGTTTCATCCCTGGAGGCTTTCAAGAAGAGACTGGACTGCCATCGGTCAGATATGGTGTAGGGCCTCCTGCTTGGGTGGGGGGTTGGACTAGATGACCTCCAAGGTGCCTTCCAACTGTGTTATTCTATATTCAATGGAACGACTTGCCTTCAGAAGTTGTGGATTGTATTTGCCCCAAACTGGAAGAGTGATAAAATACAGATAGAGGGGAAAATAATTGAAAAAAATATTTGAATGTGCAGAAATGAATAGATCGACACTGGGAATTAAAGAAAATTAAGTAACTGAATATTACACGGTAGGGAATATGTTTTTATCAATGGATAGAGAATCAAACAACCTAAAAAAGATTTGATGTATTTATGGAACAATAGAGAAAATGTAAGCAAAGTTATAATGCGTGATAGTATTATGCATATAGGAATATATACGGGAACATTGATGTATTGTTAGATCTGATAAGAAGAATATCATTTATAATGTTTAAATAATTGAAATACGTACCCAAGTCAACGCATGATTGAAATGGGATGGTTTGTTGTATATATATATATAAAAAAACATTTTTTTAAAAAAATAGAAGTTGTGGGAGCTTAGAAGTCAGAAGTGGTGTAGGGTTCCTCCTTGGATTGGGGGTTGGACTAGATGACCTACAAGACCCCTTCCAACTCTGATTATCTGTTAATCTGAAAGGTACTGGAAAGAGGACTTTCTAGAAACGGTGTCTAATTTCATTGAAAGTGTAATAACAGGGTAGTCCTCGGCTTACAGCCACCACTCAAGCCTCTGATTTCCGCTGCTCCGCGAGACGGTGCAGTGAGCCTCGCTCCGTTTAGCAACCTTTCTTGCCGCCGCCGTTAAGCGAATCCCTGCAAGTTGTTCTGTTAGGGGGAGACACGGTTGTTTAGGAAGTCTGGCTTCCCCCATTGATTCCGCTCGTCCAAAAATCGCCAAAGAGAAACACACCTGATGTCCCCACCCGGGACACCGTCATAAATAGGAGTCAAGGGTCTGAATTTAGGTCACGTGACCACGGGGGTGTGAGAAAGGGCCGTAAGGCACTCCACTGCCGTCAAAACTTTGAACGGTCGCTAAATGAACTTGTCGTGAGTCGAGGACTCCTCGGCAGGGGGATTCTCCAGGAGGACCCGTGAGGTGCTTGAAAATGGAGGCCGGACCTGTGAGCTCCCGGTCCCCCGAAATCCTTGGGAAAGGTTCTGCTCAGGGGGAAATGGAGGCCTTTAGGATGGACTAGAGGACCTCCAAGGCCCCTTCCAACTCCGGTTATGCTCTCCATCCGAAGTGTCCGGCTTTGGGAGGTGGCCTTCCTTCGCTCAGGGGCAGGGTTGGCCCCGGTTCC